AAAAACCTGGCAGCTCCCATCTGACCCCACAATCCCCTACTGGTGACAGCTCCAAGCTCCATGGCAAATTAGGCCTTCTCATATTACAATTGGAGAAGACAGATTCCATTAGCAGTATCTGAAATTGAGTGGAGAGCTGCACTGTTATCAGACTTGACTCATAAGCACTGCTATTAATCAGAGCTATGATAGCATTTATATATTTCAAGCTATCTGCTGCCGCTGTGATATTCTGCTACAAAGGGTTGATGGGACTTAGGAAAGTGAACAATAGAGCTTTCTGGGAAAAGCAGAGTAAATCAAGAAAGTCTATGACTTCCGCACATTCTGAAGGGATTGTGGTTTACATAAATTTTCTCCCAATTGGAGATTGAGCTCTTCCTCATCTTACACATGGGATTTAGTTGTCACTCAATGGTAACAGCTGTGAAAAGGTGAAGCGGCCCACCGCTCAGAATATTGCCTTTGCTTTTAAAGCAATTAACCCATGAACAGGAGGATACCTGGTGATATCAAAGGGATTAGGCCAGGCAGTGCATTATTAACATTTCCTTGAACTAATTCTAACTCTGACTAGCTGTCAGAAAAGACTCTACAGTCTTAAAAAAGAGTTTTTGCCCTGCTTTTTTCCCTTCAAAATGAAGTGCTGCTATTTGAGCCTAATATGGCCCTCTACTTATAAGAAAATGCAAATGAACCAAGCTCTTAATATGCTTAGCCAGTCTGAGTCAATGCAATTTTAATACAAGTATGAGAGAAATATATGATCAATTAACCAGGGATCAAGACAGATATTCTCCTGAATGGAAATTAATGCTCCAGTACTTTCCATTCTTCTTCAACTACAAAAACTTGGTGAATATTTGTTACTTATGCATAGTTACCTCCGAAATTAGGAAGAGCTTCACATTATTCTCTATGGCAATAATCTAAAATACTCTTTGAGCTGGAAAATCCAAATGTCTCTTAAGCAGGAGATTCTACATCCTCTAAGGTATGGCATTTTAATTTTCAATTCTTTATTGAATGGAATCTTAGCTGAAACCCTAAGAATAGCAGACACAGCGCTCAGGATCAAGTGTTCCTATTCCAAAAGTTTAATCAAATTAATTTTTAGTAGTGGCAGAATGTTTAGAAATACATAACTTATAAAAAATAAAATACTGCATAAACAAAATACTGGCACAAAACAATCTACCAGGAGATATTTAGATATCACTGAAATTGGCTGTAAGTTCTTTGTAGTAAGCAGGCAGAGTTTCAAGATACCTTTAATTATAATTAATATTTACACATTCTAGGGAACCTGCTTGATATTAAAGAGATCTGATTTCTTACTGTACAATCTTAATGGAGTTACAAAGTTTTTTAATGCAAGCTTCCTGAAACAATGCCTTTTAGAAAAAAAGATTAAAAAAAATTTTATTTAAGAGTAACTTTACCTTTCTCTAAAATAAGCACTGAATTTTGATTATAAAAACTAAAAAAAAGTTTACTTTCAATTCATATGAATGCACAACAAATGTTGCTGAATGAGTTCTGCTCATGAGTTCCATTTGGCCCATGCTAGCTTGAAAAGGATATGCTAACTCTCAAGCCTGTTGAGAACATATTCCCTGCCCTGGAACTTATCAAAAAAATAGGATACTAGAGATGCTTTCACCTGAGATCATAAGCAATTTAAATCTTCCCTCCAGTGTCAACAGGGTCCATTCTCTGCTAGTGATACCAGAACATAGACAATGGAAGCATGTTGATATTAATGACAGTGAGTTCAGTACTTCTTCCTTACTAAGTGCATGTTGACGGGATCTAGTCTGAGGTTTTTAGAAAATAAGTTGGCAATTCATGTACTAAGCAAAGCTAAACAATGTTCTTATTAGTGATTTATAGGACCTATAATTTTTACATTTTTGTATTAATAGGATTTGCAAATTTCAAATATGACACTTTTAAATACCCTTCTGTCAAACTAAAAAATCATTTACTTCATTGGCCTTCAGGGAAAAAAAAAATTCCAGTTCCTCTAAATCACTTAACTGTAGTTCAGAGTTTTAAATGCATAGATGTACACATTAATAAAATGAATACTATTTCCTATAAATGAAATGTATTAGATTAAACTCCTTTAACATAATCATGCTTTAAAATACCCCCAAAGGGGACAATATGTAAATAAATACATGCAGAAATAACTGCCCCAATCTTACTATTTTTAATTCAATAAAGTACAGTGACACATACAGCTTTCAATGTACTGTTTTACTCATATCCTTTCTACCTCAGCAAATATAAAAGAATTCTTGCCAACCATTAAGAAAGATTGACAAAAAATGCAGTGTTAATGATATCTTATAGGCTTTTAAAAGCAAAAAAAAGATGAAAGAAAAGCAAAAATTACACGGTAATTGGAAACAACGAAGTAACTGGTCTTTCAATCCAAGTCATGTTTACTGAAAAAAATGGAGCTTTTTACATCAACATATTTAAACAGAAATTTGCTTTTGAAATACAATCTTTGTTTAAAAGGTACAGAAGGTCTTTACGTCCACCCCAAGAGCTAAATATAGTGAATGCTCTGTGAACAATTACCTGAAAAAAACCTAAACCTGTTAAAAGAATTAATTTCCTGCACACCAGTCAGCACTAATCCTACATGTACAGTAATGTTCTCTTAAGTGATGGGGGAAAGAAAGAATACAACCATCTCCGGGATCAAAACCCCTCAATATTCAACAAGAAAATGGAATGATGACTTGGTCGGTAGATAAATAAAGTAGTGAAATGTCTTCTGAATGAGTTCTGATGAAGGAGTCAACCTGTGAGGAATACATTTAAGGTACGCTAGGACTGGAAAAAAGCCGTCACTGTAACGGCTGCACAAAAACCGCGTCCTGCTGTTGGGTTTATATTCACAGAAGGAAGGTTTTAAAGGTTAAGTTCAGGTCATTTGACAAATGAAATTGTAACAAGCCAGCTGACACTGTATAATGTCTTCTTCCACTCAATCAATAGGCTACTGTTAGTCCTATTACCATAGAGATGGCTTGCTCTTTCCCGAAGGGTGGCCATTGTTTGACAAAACAGATTTGCCACTTGAACTAGGTTGTTCCCAAAGGACGTGTACCTTGTCAATTATTTGTATTCAAAATAATGAAGTATTTTCATATTAAAATTACATGAGAGATAATATTGTTAGGACACATTTCAGAAGAAAATAACTTTTCCAAAGTACGAGATTACTAAAACTAAGCAAATATCCAGTCTATAAAGAGTTTTTGTTTTAAAACATGTCAGTATGAATTTATCATTAAGACTATATATTAAAATAAAATGGTCACAGGTCTGTGTGCTGATCTAAAACCCATTATAATCAAGCATAATAATTAAAGCTATTTTAAAATGCAGACAACTCAAAGGAAAATTACTGTCCCAAACTATTTGGATTCTGGAAATACAAAGAATTTATATATGATTTTTGCAGTGGTTTTTATGTGGAAGGGCATCAACAATTAATATAGTAAAAAACCATGGAAAAGTTTTAGTAAACAAATAGCTTTACTTGCTTTAAGAGGTAGCTATAGCATTTAAATGTGTGTATATGTTGTAGAAATAATCTAAAATACAAATGAACTAACAAAACAAATATTAGTTTTTTTTTTTAAATGGCTTTGTCTTAAATGTCTTAGGAAAATTAGTAACTCATACATTTAATACAGAACTAGTATGTTCTAAATTTCATCCTAGATATTTAAAATAGTTTTTCTCTCAATGAAAATAATGACACAGTCTTAATTATAAAAGACCAGAAGGAACAATTCTAATAATTACTCTAGTCATTTAGAAAAAGAAAGTATTCATAATGCTAATTAATCCAAGCAAAAATGTTATTTTAAACATTTCAGACTTAAAGATATGGCTATCACTGAAAACCTGTAAGACTGAACTAAAAACAAATTAAATAATACAGATAAACATTTAGTCAATGATCAAAAATTACAATTTTGAATCTGAAACGTTCCACAAATAGATTCAATAGTAAGTTTTAGCCATAGTTAGTAACTTTAACCTTCTTACAAACAAGCAAAGGGGAATTTAGATAGAATTTAGTCAAAGGGCAGTAATAAGACAAATGTATATAAAACAGTCTCCAAAAATGACATTTGAAATGTTCTATTCAAATTATGCTATATTTACATACAAAATTATTTGTTTTTATAATAAAATCTGCAATACTTTTTGAAAGAAATGTTTTAACTTGGTTTTCCCTTTGCAGAAAGTATAATTTGTAGTTTTGACTATAATCCTTTCAGGCATAGGTTAGACTAAGCACTGAAAGCGAGAGAAACAGCAAAGACAAATGGAGATTACCAATATCCTAAACTAATGACCTGTTTTTTTAAAAGCAGGGTAGCCTTCCAAACGAGGAAAGCCTTTCATTATGAAGTAAGTGGCGTCTCATTTGTCTGTCTTCCCTACAGCTATCCTGCAACAAAGTGAAACCTTACTAAAACCACATTCCCAAATTGATTCCCTTAGTTAATAGCCTCATTTCAAAATGTATGCATGTGCATATTTAAAATACAATATAATTAGGTATTAACTCTGGACCTGATAGGCAGCTGCCGATCAGCAATACTGTGAGTAATTAAATAATATTTACCATTTACCAAAAGAAGAACTTCATACTGTTAAATTAAACTGGCCCATCTGCATCTTCCTAAAATGACAAACCTTATTAGTTCTGCCTAAACAGAGAATTGTGATAATGAACTGGTGACACCTTCTCTCCACTGTATGAAGCAGAACCAACTGTGTAATCATTTGAGGGTCAAACACAAATGAAATTACTGTAAATTGAGAAAGCGAAATCACATGAGTGATTAGGAAAACCATTCAAGCAACAAAAGGTCTTTTTTTTGGTCATGTATGTATATGGGCCATAAGAAAGCTCCATCTCCAATTAGTCAAAATTAATTTTAACTAATCAACTACTTTACCTGAAAACGGTGAAAAAAAGTAAAGCTGCAGCTACTGCTCCAAATAGGCCACACAGTAGATTGACTCGGTAGGCAACTGAACCAAAAGGAAATAGTAGAATTGCCAGTTTAGCCACCAGCGTAAACAAAGGATAGCCAGGAGGATGGGCAACCTAAAGGAAAATTAGCAAGAGTCAGAAGGTTTTCATCTAGTTTTAAAGGAAAAGTCACACTGGCTTTAATTGAAAAGTAGCCCTTTTCCCAGGCAAGTATAAAGATTAAGAGACAATGACTAAATGTTTGAATAGTGGTTTTCTATTGTAATCCTCTTGTGCCAATACAAATAAATATTTTCTTTAGTGGATTTGGCAGTGTCTATCACATGGTGTGTCACCTAGAGAAAGGGTGACATATTTCATTGTCAGTCCTTAAGCAGTTTGTTCTCTGGGTTCACAGTACATTAGGGTCATTTAAAAGGCTATTGAAAAAAAGCGGGTTCTGAAATATCGTATTCGTTAGAAAGTTGAAAGACCACACTGCTATCGGATTACCACCATGCTGACAGTCCTGAGGTCTTGCCTAAAGGGATCATACACCATAATAAAGTTTATTAAATAATAAACTTATTAAAACTGTTAACCCGATTTATTTTATTCTCCATAGCTTATACAAAATTTGGGGTGATAATAAGCCAGCGACTGTATATATAGTAAAGGCTTTGCTTTATAATTTAGTTTAATTGGATTTAAAACTTAAAGTAAATTGTCACGTACTGTACTTATAAGTTACTAAAAACTGGGGTTTGAAAATAAATTAATCTACTTTACTCTATGCTTAATTAAACTTTCTTAATTCCTAAAACTGTTAATGAGAGCATTGATTAAACAATAAAACTAATACTTACTCCAAGCTCATGTGCGGCTGTGATCAGTTCCCCTGTGAAAAAATAATGTAAAAGCAATAATTACTATTAGAAAATGACACTCCTCCAAAGTTTTCAAAATCCAAATGCTTGCATTGGGGTTTTGCATTAATTTGACTGGATAAAACTGTAAATCTGTAGAGATTTAACAGCATGAAATAGTCTCAGAGTATTTTCTCCCTTAGGTCTCACTGAACAAACTATCTTTGACAGTTTTTAATAACTGGTCAGTGGAAAAATAGGTGAATTCTAGTTTCTAAAGATGCTTATTTTAAACAAACTCCTACTATATTGCACAGGGAATAATATTCAATATCTTGCAATAAACTATAATAAAAAATATGTATAACTGAATTACTTTTCTGTACACCAGAAACTAACACAAGATTGTAAATCAAGTATACTTCAATTTTTCAAAAAAGCTTACTTTCCGTTCTGAAGGTTGTTTACACTTGCAAATATATAAAAACTCTTACAGAGCATTAGTGTAGAACGCTATGTTATCCCTCAAGAATTTAGTGCAAAACTGCCTGTAAAAATGTAACCTTATATGTAAAATGTGCAGAAGCTGGATTTGAACAGTCTATAAAATGTGCCTTTTCACCCTAAGCTGGCATTTAGATATCTTCTCTACATTAATTACATTGGATATTTTTAAACAATTGCCAAATGCTTATTAACTGCAGGTTATTTTGGCAAGCTTTGATTACCACAGCACATTTTTTTTCAAACCACTGAATCACCATGTCATTTACATAGTTCTTTGTAATTCCTCACCATTAGCAATTACTTCTAAAATTATGATGTAGTAATTCAGTGCCTATTTGATAGTACTTTTAGTATCCAGGGACTATTTCTGATTCATTCCTATGCACATAATACTGTACAGTTTAAGCAATCAGTATCAACTGATTTATGAAAGTTAAAAATTATCTATCAGAAAATGTATTAATGTCTATTTTCTATCCTTCAGTGGCTATCAATGTCCTTCATTTCTAGAGCCCAGATCATATTTTAGAACTTTTCTCTTGTCCTGGGCTATGGCAATAGCTTTTGAACAATGTTCTATTTCAGTTCATCTTCCCACTGAAATCACTAATTACTGTCACCCCCACCCCCAAAAGGTCAGATTGTTTCCTTAGTCTAAAATTTCTCAATGGCTGCTCTCTGCCCACTGAATGAAGTTGATCCCTCATCGTGACACCTAAGCCCTCTACAGCTTCTGGTTCCTTTTCCAAGGCTTATGTCCATGAAACTTAGGCTCACCTCTGTCAGATCAGACTCCCCACTGTTACTCTGAAATGGTCCTCTTTTGCACCTTTTATCGCTCACTTTCTCACCCAGCATTCTCTGCTAAATCCTTCCAGGCCTGGTTCAATTGTTACCTTCTCAGTGACACCTTTCTACACACACCTCTCCCCAGCTTCACCCATCAGAATTCATCACTTCTGCCTCCTTCATAGAACCTGCTTGAACCTATTTAGCACTTCTTTAGATTGCTTTCTATTCTGGTGAGTTGTTTTGTCTTTTCCACTAAGTTATCCATTTCAGGGTTCTGTCAAGAAGACATCGGCACCTCTCCCTCCTTGTGCCACCCAGAAGAGTCCTGCACACAGATGACAAAAAGACCTATCATGATGTCATCCTTGTTACTCAGACATCCCCATCAGGTGGGATAATTGCTCACTTCCGAGAAGCCCCACAAAGGCATGAAAGACAGATACTGCTCACTTAAGTCACTTACTTAAGGACATAATTGAAGTCTTCCAGAGAAATTCAAGAACATCTTAGAAGACAAAAGCCCTTTTTGTATCTTACACAAATCATTCATGGTTTTAAAATGCTTAAAATAACTTTCCCTTTGTATATATTGTTACCAAAACTGTATTTATCATTTTCTACTCTAGAATGGGTTTGCTCTTATGTCTTCAGTCCCAAAAGGTTTTTTTTTTTCCCCCATTTATTTTTATTAGTTGGAGGCTAATTACTTTACATCATTACAGTAGTTTTTGTTATACATTGAAATGAATTAGCCATGGATTTACATGTATTCCCCATCCCAGTCCCCCCTCCCACCTCCCTCTCCACCCGATCCCTCTGGGTCTTCCCAGTGCACCAGGCCCGAGCACTTGTCTCATGTACCCAACTTGGGCTGGTTATCTGTTTCACCCTAGATAATATACATGTTTCAATGCTGTTCTCTTGAAACATCCCACCCTCGCCTTCTCCCAGAGTCCACAAGTCTGTTCTATACATCTGAGTCTCTTTTTCTGTTTTGCATATAGGGTTATCGTTACCATCTTTCTAAAGTCCATATATATGTGTTAGTATACTGTAATGGTCTTTATCTTTCTGGCTTACTTCGCTCTGTATAATGGGCTCCAGTTTCAATTAATTTCTGATCCTTACATTTCTGTGCGATGAAGCACAGTTCACTTCAGATTTTCAAGGTTACTATTCATTCTCCTCATATAAAAATGTATTTAGAATTACATTTAACATTAAGAAAAATGCACTATTTTCTCTAACTTCTTTTTACCATTAAAAAGTCAATATACTGTTATTCTTTGTGGGAGTTGTTGGTAGAAAGATGAATCTTGAATGTTACAAACCTCCATCACCAACTCTTCGTATGTGAATTAAAATCTAAGTAGAAAAGATGCTAGTATTCAAAGTCTATTATGTACCCTTGATAAAAAGCTAAAGAGAAGCACTACTCTTAAAACTGAACATGATAAAAAGAAAAATAGTTTAAAAAAAAAAGTCTTCTGGCACCTTGCTTTCCCTCAATCAACCCTTACACAAGGGTTTGGTGGCTCAGTGGTAAAGCATTCACCTGCAATGCAGGAGACATGGGTTTGATCCCTGGACCAAGAAGATCCCCTGGAGAAGAAAATGGCAACCCACTCCAGTTTTCTTGCCGGGGAAATCTCATGGACAGAGGAGCCTGGCAGGCTATAGTTCGTGGGGTCCAAGAGTTGGACAGTACTTAGCAACTAAACAACAAACAATTTGTCAAATCTAAGTCCTACATCATATATAACCTGCATCAGAATTACTTGGATGCCTTTTAGAAATGAAGATTCCTTGACCATAACCCAAATCTACTTACATGACACCCTCTGGAATCAGGGCCCATGTTTTCCAGGCAATTCTCAAGTATCAATATATTCAAGCTTGAGAACCACAGCTTTCTCTGGGACACAAATGGGTGGCAAACTCAGAGTAGTTAGTAGATGCTTCACCTTTCCATAACCCAGATCCCTCTATATGTTAAAAACATATAAATATACATATAAACTAATTTATTTTTCCAAAGAATAACAAACACAAGTGAAGGCTAGATTCCCAACCTTTCCTCTAAATGACCAAGAATGCTTTTGCCCAGAAATCAACAATGTATATCAAGTAGTACAAAAAGTAGTTTTGGCTAGGTCACACAATATGATGGATTCATGAAGTATAATTTAAGATTTATCAGGAAGAAGAGTATATGCTTTATGTTGGTCTTGAGATGCATTCTGTTTATTGGTTAAAAAAAATTCATAAACATGAAATTCAAAGAGAACAGTACATTAAACATATAAGCAGAATTATCAAAGATGTGATTATACAAACTTTACTGGCAACACTGGAAAGGTTTATTTACCATTCTCAAAAAATGAACAAAAATATTAGAAGCAACTACTCTCTAGCGTCAAATTAAACAAATCAGAATACCTAAAAAGTTTGATAACTCTAAGTTATCAAACAGATAACTTTATTCTTTGGGGGAAAAAAATAAAAGACATTATTAACGAAAACAAAGCAACAATTGTAATGGTGTGGAGCAGGCGCCAGATATAGGAGCTCTGCTCAGGTACTGGTCAGCACCACAGTGGACTCTCCCCATCTTCTGTATAAAAGGAGCCCAAATTCAGGTTAAGTTTTTTTGTGTATGTGTATATAAACTTTTTATTTTGTATTGGGGTGGTGGTGGTGTAGCCCTCATAATCAACAGAAGAGTCCGAAACTGTACTTGTACAGTACTTGGGTGTAACCTCAAAAATGACAGAATGATTTCAGTTCATTTCCAAGGCAAGCCATTCAACATCACAGTAATCCAAGTCTATGCCTCTACCACCGATGCCAAAGAAGCTTATCAGTCCTATGAAGACCTAGAAGATCTCCTAAAACTAACACTGAAAAAAGATGTTCTATTCATCATTGGAGATTGGAATGAAAAGTAGAAGAGTCAAGATATACCTGGAGTAAGTCAAGTTTGGCCTTGGAAACAAAATGAAGCAGGGCAAAGGCTAACTGAATTCTGCCGAGAGAATGTTCTAGTCATAGCATATACCCTTTTTCAACAAATCAAGAGAGTACTTTACACATGGACATCACCAAATGGTCAATACTGAAATCAAATTGATTACATTCTTTGTAGTCAAAGATGGAGAAGCTGTATACAGTCAGCAAAAATAAGACCTGGAGCTGACTGTGGCTCAGATCATCAGCTTCTCATAGAAGATTCTCTGGTGGCTCAGATGGTAAAGAATCCACCTGCAATGTGGGAGACCTGGGTTCCATCCCTGGACTGGGAAGATCCCCTGGAGGAGGGCATGGCAACACACTCTAGTATCCTTGCCTGGAAAATCCCCAAGGACAGAGTCCACAGGGTCGCCAAGAGTCGTACATGACTGAGCGACTAAGCACAGCACAAAGAAAACCGGGAAAAACACTCAACCAGACAGGTATGACTTAAATCAAATCCTGCATGAATTCGCAGTAGAGGTAATGAATAGATTCAAGGGACTAGATCTAGTTAAAAGAGTGCCTGAAGAACTAAGGACAGAAGTCCACATATTGTATAGGAGGTGGCGAACAAAACCATTCCAAAGAAAAAGAAAAGCAAGAAGGCAAAGTGGTATCTGAGGAGACTTTACAAATAGTGGAAGAACGAATTAAAGTGGAAAGCAAAGGAGAGAGGGAAAAGTACATCCAATTAAATGCAGAGTTCCAAAGAATAGCTAGG